CACCTATATAAGCACCTATACCTGTATGTACAGGTGACCTACCTTAATTAAATCGCTATGGAAAAACATATGTAACTGCGTATAAATGTTAAACTCCGGCGGAGTATAACACTTGTACGCCGCTCAAGCTGAAAGTCATTGAAGTGACTCTTATACCTTGTCAAAATAATCACAAAAATTACTGCCGGTGTATAAATGTTATACTCCGACGGAGTATAACACTTGTACAGGGTTATTGGTTATAAATGTCACCCCCCTATCTTTTTTATTTGACATTTTAGAAAAAAGTGTCCCAAATAAAAGTTTCATGATTGAAATTAAATTTTTTGAAAAACTCCCTTTCGCATATACAGGGTATTTCAGAAATGCTGATCGTGCTCCAACTTTCTTATTTTAAATGGAACACCCTGTATATTATTGAATATTCGGATTCTACGTGAAATTCTGTGAAGATTTTATGTGATATACCCTATACTTAAGTTCAACTATTTTGGAAATATTGACAGTTGAAGATTGACTTTTTTACAAATTTGACAGGCTGTGAAACCTAAACGGTTAATCTTAGAGCAAAACCGAACTTACATTTTTTTCTTAGATTTTCATAAGCTATGATTTGACACCAACTTTGAATTTAACCGGAGATTAAATTTAATTTTAATTTTTAATCATGGATTAAATTCAAAGTTGGTATGTCAAATATCAGTGTCAACTGATAGTTTATGAAAATCCAAGATAAAAACATAAGATCGGTTTTGCTCTAAAATTAACCGTTTAGGTTTTACAGCCTGTCAAAGTTGCAAAAAGTCAATTTTCAACCATCAATATTTCCAAAACAGTTGAACTTAGGTATAGGGTATATCACATGAAATCTGCTCAAATTTTTTTGTAGAATCCGAATATTTAATATATATACAGGGTGTATATTTTAAGTGATACCACTATTACTATATCCGAAACGGTAAGAGCTACAAGGTCGGTTAAATTAGAGAAAAGTTGCCTTTTTTGATGCCCATTCAAAACTTGTTTACAGTGTTGTCAAATTCCTTTTAGTTTATGAAATACAGGGTGATTTCTTAAAAACGCCAAAAGCTATTTCATCAACTATTTCAAAAACTATTGATATTCGAGACGAAATTTAAATTTGAAAGTTTTATAATTTTTTCCGCTCTACAACATGGCATCTTCAAATTTTAAATCCGAAGTTTCGTGATCAAGCTTCCATCATCAACTTCATTTTTTTTAATACGGACCTGGTCTTTTTATGTCATTTTCACAAAGGGAATAAAAGGCACTTTCTAAAAATGACATAAAGAATTCAGGTCCGTAATAAAAAAAATGAAGTTGATGATGGTAGCTCGATTACGAAACATTGGATTTAAAATTTGATGACACCATGTTGTAGAGTGAGAAAAATTAAAAAACTTACAAATTTAAATTGTGTCTCGAAAATCAATAGTTTTCAAAATAATTGATGAAATAATTTTGGGCGTTTCTTAGAAATCACCCTGTATTTCATAAACTAAAAAGAATTTGGCAACACTGTAAACGAGTCTTAAATGGGCATCAAAAAACGCAACTTTTTCCTAATTTAACCGACCTTGTAGCTCTTACCGTTTCGGATATAGCAATAGTGGTATCACTTAAAATATACACCCTGTATATATATATATTAAGAAAATTTATTTCAACTATAAAACTTTTATTTGGGACACTTTTTTCTAAAATGTCAAATAAAAAAGATAGAGGGGGGTGACATTTATAACCAATAACCCTGTACGCTGCTCAAGCTGGAAGTCATTGAAGTGACTCTTATACCTTGTCGAAATAATCACAAAAATTACTGCTATATAGCACAGTAGACTAGACTATGAGTGCACGTGAAAGAGACGAGGATGAAAGAAATTTTCGACAAGTTGAATTTTTTTTGTATATATGAGTCAGTGTATCTCGGTTACCATTGCGTTAAAGAATACTTTGACTAGGTAAATTTGAAGGAAATTTAATTTTCTTGCACTTTATAAATAGGTGTATTCCGCTAAAAGCGCATGGTTTAGAAGTTATAAGAAAAAAACTGAAAAAGTTCGAAAATTTCTGTCTTTCGACTTTTCCCCAAGTTAGCACAGGGTCCTCGAGGTCGAAAACTTAGATTCTACTCCACAGACTATCCACAAACGACATGCCAAAATATCATTAACTTCGGAATACTTTCCAGATACCCCCTTTAATTATTACTTGCCTGCTGGCCTACTAATGGCCGTTTGCACCGACCATTTTAAGGAAGCCTTAGCGATAAGTATTCCTTAAAGTGACATTTCTCCATGTAAAAATGTAATTTTAAGTAATACTTACCGGTAAGGCTTTCTTAAAATAGTCGGTGCAAACGGCCTTAAGTGAACTTAAAAAAATCAGATCTAATAAATCATCAGAACTGTTTGGTATTGAATTGACTTGCTTAAGGTTGAGGATTACGACATGTGCACAAGAGATCAGCCGATTCAACTGACTCAGCTCCCATCACCTCTAATCCATCCTCAGAATTCTTCCAGATTGCACCAGGCAAGTTGAAGTCCCTACACATCAAGAGATCACAATTTGGATAATTCTCTGTTACTTTCTATTCAAGCCGAAAAACGCTAAACACTAAGGGCCGGTATTTCAATGTCACCTTAAAATCAAGACTTACCTAGGGTACCCTTAAGGTGAACTTGAAATCAGTTCATTCAGGTGGCTAGATCCAACTTGAATTAAGGGAACTTTGATATACGGTGAAACTTGTATTAGGTATGACCCAAAAATGAAAGTTTTAGGGCAAAGAAGTCTGAGAATAAATATTTCAACCGCATCTTACTACGATTAATCGTTTTCGAGTTAGGGCGGTTTAAAGTTACGAACGCCTAGGCTGTGACGTCACACTGGCTTCGGAGGCATAGTATTAACACGTGTTCCAAAACAAAAGTCAACGAGCTCACTAGGCTGTAATTTCGGTGGTTAGCCGGTGTGACGTCACAAGTTCCCGCATACTTTATCTTCATAAGGGATTTTCTCCGATATTATTTTGAACATGGGTCTGCAGTTTTCACGAGATGTCTTAGATTTTTTTTCTTGACTCAATTAGCTAAAGTTGTTTTATTGGGTCACACCCCCTTTGGATGACTTAACGTTATTCTGTACCCTAAGGTGACATTGAAATACTGGCCCTAAGATAATATAAAATATAAATGATTGCAGTTTTCTGTGAAGCTGTCACCTACTGGAATTATCTATCATGGCAATTGAGCTCCCTATAGTGAGGTGAAGAGATAATCGTTATACCTTCATGTTTCGTATACTTGGTTTAGTTTGAAACAATTGTTTACGGGGAGGCGTTGCAACGCACAGCTAGTTTTTTATAGGTAAACTCCAAATAATCAATAATTATAGTTATTGGATAAATTGCGCAGCAAATAATCTATCTCACACTATCTTACAATTTTATTATGATGCAATAATTTAAAAATTCCTCTGTTCATAACTTTGTGAGCTTGTCTTTTTTCGTAAAGTAAACAAAGCTTGTTGAAATTGCTTTCTCCAAAAAAATACAATAACACTGAATGGAATGCAAATAGGCTTTTCAATTTCGAATAAAATAGAATGCACCTACAAAGATTTTTTTTAATTAAAAGAATTTCCGAGACATTAAATATAATGCAAAATCACAAAAAAGGGCAATTTAAATGATAAAATATTCCAACACTGAACGAATCAGACATGGCGTAGCCTACATCAATGGGGCTAATTTCGGTTAAATTTCGACCTCAAATTAAATTAAATTGCTCTAGACAATGTGGGTTTTTTAAAAAAATTGTCTGAAAGGAGGGATAAAATATCGATCGTGGTTGACGTTTTTATGTAGACAATCATGGATATTTGATTACTAGCGTTTTGAGCATGTTCTGAAAAGGTTGATAAAAGATACCTGGTGTAAAAACTTTTTCATCGCCCAAAATTAATGGGGTACATATCTGCGAAAAGCTAATCAGAAATAATTATTGTAGATAAATTCATAAATCGTATTTTATCATTAAATAATACTGTCTCGACCGCAGTTAAACCAAAATATTAAAAATTTCCCCTGACATAGCGAAAAAATATTACCGAAATTACTAAGGGATATGGCAGTCGTGTAGTAAATCACATTTTTCATGTGTTGCGCTCTACCGTTTGACCTTTTTCCCATTGTTTAGTGTTTGTTTCTTTGTTGAGGTCAACGACAATAGAGTTGTCCCACGATATATTCCTTTACCATTTATGTCAGCATGTCTTGAAAAATCGATTTCCAATTTTTTAAGAACGGATGCTTATGGTTCAAAATTGGAAAAGTTAAATTGCGAACTTTTAAGACTATTACCAAATTCGCGCCTGCAACAAACTTACATTAAAAAGTTATTATGACAACGTCTGGTTATTTCCGTATCGATGCTAGTTTGGTGAAACTTTGGACGTGGATAGAAATGGAAATTATATTCACTGTGAAAGGTTCATGGCCATTCCTCTGTTGCCAGTTCAAGTTCAGACTGTGCAAAAACGAAATTTAATGGTCGATTGTGGAACATGAAAAGACCCATAAATCGTCAGTATGCTCGATATTATGAAAATAAAGCGTTTTCCAATTATTGTGTATTTTGGTACACAGCATTAAAAGACTATCAACTTGAACAATGGCTTTTAATTAACTGAATTATTATACATGGCAACCAAAAAACAATAAAACAATAATCCGGTTCCCTCGGACAGACACCGTTATCTATCAACTTGACCTGTCACTCCTCAGCTGATGGCTGAAGAGGCGCTAATGCTGGGTTTACAATATTGCATTAAGCGCGTACATTACATTCCTTTCCACTTAGCTTTATTCAAGATCCTGTTAATGATCAAAGGTTCAACCTGTCAGGTACCCTATTAGGTCTTTGAGACCTACGCAACAAGAGTGGAGATGTCCTTGAATAATCAGAAACTGTAACCTTATCTTTTTTATTAGGAGATTTAGGTGTATGAAATGTAGGAGTAGGACTTTTTGGTTCTAATATTTCTATCGAGGATGGGACATTATTTTTTAAACCACGATTTTCCATAGATTTCCGGTCAACAGGATATTCCGTTATGGTTTCAGAGACTTCCGGGTTTTCCATAACTTCTACAGCTGCCTCACTAGCACTAGGATTATCCCGTCCATTTATATCTGGAGGTTGTAAAACTGATGGTTTTAAGTGATCAGCATGAACATATCGCACTCTTCCTTCAGAAGTCATCACTAAATATGAGTTGATTCCAACTGTCTTTAAAACTTTTGCTGAAATCCACTTTCTAAGCTGTGTTAAGTATAACATGACAGTCTGATTAATTAAATACATTTTATTTTCTCGTCTTTTTAAGTTTTCTCTTTGGATAACATCGTCTTCTCTCTTCCTTTCTAGCTTTCCTTTTAAATTCTTTGGATGAAACATATTAAGTTTTGTTCTTGGGATCTGTTTTAATAACAGCTCTGCTGGTGATTTCATAGTCACCGTACTTGGAGTATTTCTGTAATTGAACAAAAAGTTATCCAACTTATGATCAATTGAATCACATTTCTGGTATAAATCTTTGTCGAAAATGTCGTTCTGCATATCATGCTTAATTTTTAGAACCGACCTATATAATTCATCCTGTAAAAACTCTTTCTTTAATGACTTTTTAACTGTTGAAACCGATTTTTCCGCACTTCCGTTCGATTCCGGGGGATAAGGTGGGGTGTTGACCACGTGTATTCCATTGGATCTACAAAACTTATGAAATTCTTCGCTATTGAAAGGGGGTCCATTGTCCGCCACTAAGACTTCAGGAAGACCAAACATACTAAAAACTTTGCGAAGTCTCGTAATTGTTTGCTGAGCGTTCGTTCCTTTCATTCGAAAAATCTCTAACCATTTTGAAGTACTATCTACCACTAAGAAGAACTTAAAGCCTTCCAAGTCATAAAAGTCAACATGAATTCTTGAAAAGTTTTTTTCACTCTTGGTCCAAGTTGATATGGTGACATTCCTTTCACGGTCGCTTAGAATTTGGCAAGCTTGACATTGATTGACCAAGCGCTCTATATTATCATTGATATTTGGCCACCAAAAATCACTTCTAGCTCTCAGCTTCATTCTTACCATTCCAGGATGACTCTCATGTAACATATCCAACAATTTGTCTCTCAAGGATTCGGGTACTACAACTCGATTTCCCCAAGTTAGACATTCACATTCTACACTTAACTCATTTCTTCGTTGAAAATATGGTTTTAAGTTATCGTCATTGCAGTAGGACCATCCATGTTTAATATTGTCAATAACTTTATTTAAACATTTATCTTTCTTCGTCTCTCTATAAATCAACTCAGCTGTGATGGGTAAGTTATCTTCATACGTGAAAGCGAAAACTTGCTCCTCCAGCTTGCACTCTTCAAACATCTCGGACAGTGGTAATCTTGATAGACAATCAACATTGGACATCTCACTTGCCTTCTTGTATTTAATCTCGTAGTTATATGCCGATAACGTTACAGCCCATCTTTGTATCCTAGCATGAGCTAACGTAGGCAACCCATGTTTTTCCCCAAAAATGGTTTTCAATGGCTGGTGATCTGAGAGAATTATAAATTTCCTCCCATACAAAAACTTGTGAAATTTGCGAACTGCAAATACGACTGCATAAGCCTCTCTTTGCACTTGAGCATAATTTCTTTCCGATGGAGACAATGTACAAGATGCAAACTGAATTGGTTTACAAACTCCATCTACTACTAAGCTCAAGATCGCTCCCAATCCATAAGGACTAGCATCTGCAGCAACTATCAGCTCTTTATTAGGGTCATAATGCGTTAAAGTGACACAGTTATTAATCATCTCTTTGCACTTTTCAAATGCTGCCTGTTGAGACTTTCCCCATTTATATGGTTGACTTTTTCTTAATAAATCATTAAGTGGACTTAAAGTATCCGAACAGTGAGGTAAAAATTTAGAATAAAAATTTAAAAGACCAAGAAAACTTTTAAGTTGAGTTAAATTTGTAGGGACAGGGGCATCAATGATTTCTTTTACTTTTGACTTTAATGGCTTTATACCTTGTTTACTCAAGGTGTGACCCAAAAACTCTATCTCTGACTGAAAAAATTTACTTTTGTCCAAGTTTAACTTGATGTTGTGTTTTTCAAATCGTTGCAAAACTATATCTACATTCTTAATGCATTCTGATTTACTTTTTCCTGAAATAACACAATCATCTAGGTAAACTCCCACAAACTCTAGACCTTTTAAGATTTGTTCCATAGTTGACTGAAATATAGCTGGGCTACTTGATATTCCGTAGGGTAATCTAGTGTATTTGAATAATCCGATATGAGTGTTAATTGTTAATAACTCTTGACTCTGCTTACCAACTGACAACTGCAGATAAGCATTGGAGAGATCCAACACACTGAAAATACATCCACCCGACACTGAGAAAAACAAGTCATCAAGAGTTGGAAGGGGGTAGTGATCCATTTTTAAAATTGGGTTAACCGTTTTCTTAAAATCCCCACAAATTCTGATGCTATTGTTTTTCTTTGGTACCACCACTATAGGGCTAGCTATATCAGCATGACTAACAGGAACTAAAATACCTTCTGACACTAAACTTTCAAGTTCCTGTTTTACTTTTTCTCTTAAAGAATAAGGCACCGAATAAGCCTTATGAAAAATCTTGTCTGAATTTTCTTTAACTACCAAATTAGCTTCAAAACCCTTAATATGACTTTTTCTATCATTATTAAAAACATTTGGATATGACTTTTTAAACTTTTTTAATGTAGTCTGAATTTCAATAGGACTTAGAATAGAATTTGACTCATTCCTTGACAAATTTAAACTATTAAGGGGATTATTGACTGATAATGGTTTAGTTTCTGACATCACCTGACATGCTATAGGCATATTTACTGACTCATTTCGACCATCAAGGACATTTCCCTCTTTTGCTTTGTTCGAACTTACCCTTTGACTTCTTGACTTAATATTTGACCCCTGACTATTGTTTATTTTTGATTGTCTCTGACAAGTTGACTCTGTTCCACCACCAGGACCTTGACTTATTGAAATTGATGGACCCTGACTAATATTGGTGACGTTTCGACTTGAGCTAAAACATTTAAAATTATTTTTCTCTGAATTAGATACTAAGCTAACATTTTCGACATTTTGACTGAAATTAAACATTGACCTCCAAGCTGGTTTCAGCTTGTCTAACCAATTTCTACCCAATAATGGCTTAAAATGTTTACTAGTTTTAACTACAATTAGTGGTAAAAAATTGAAATTATTATTATTTGACTTGACTTTGACAATAATTTGTCCTCTGACTAACAATTTATCGCCAGACACAGTATTAATTGATAAATTGCTAGCACTTAATGACAAATGGCCAAAATAGTGTTTATAATCTTGTTCGGAAATTACACTTACACTAGCTCCTGTGTCAATTTCCATCTCAATGTTTTTATTTTCGACGCTAACCTGAATTAGTTCACATTCGCTGGAAATTTTATTTAATGTAACATATTCTTCTTGCTTCAAGTTAGAACATTGATCATCATATTCCTCTTCAGACTCTGAATTTTCTTCACCTTCAGCATATTTGACTCCTCTCCTCTGGCTGCAACATCTGGATGTGTGACCTTTGCGTTTACATACAAAACATTCCCAGTTTTTTGCCGGACATGTACCTGGATTGTGCTGTCTTCCACATCGAAAACAACCACTGCTACCTGCGACCTGAGCTTGATTGTTTTGGTTCCAGTTTACCTTATTTTGTGAACGGTTTTGACTGTTTGACTGGTTTGAAAATTGCCTGAACTTTGGTTTCTGTTTTTCCACTGTTGACGCTGACATGCCTTGTGACTTAACTTGATGTACATTACTTTGTGGAAAAACTAACTTAGACTGTAGAGTTGACATTTCATAATTTAGAGCCTCTTTACAAGCTTGCTCAAATTTTTATGAATTGTCTTTTGTCAATAATTTCTGTACGACTGACTCACATCGAATACCACAAACAAATCGATCTCTCAGAGCCTGGTCAAGAAAGTTCCCATATTCACAAGAAGCTGATAAGGTCTTTAATTGTACAATATAATTAGCAATTGACTCATCTGGTTTTTGATTTCTACAATTGAACTTGTACCTTTCAGCAATTACTGATACTTGTGGTGTGAAATGTTTTTCTAAAACTTCGACCATATCCTTAAAGGATTTTGACGTAGGGCTCTCAGGCCGCAAAAGACTTTTCAATAATTTGTAAGCGTCTGGGCCAAGCAAAGTAATAAATAGGGGACCTTTGTCGTCCTCCTTGGTATTATTTACCTTAAATAATTGCTCCATACGCTCCCTGTAGGACTCGAAATCGCCTTCACTCACATTAAAATGCTCTATGGAACCCACAAATGACTGCATTTTTATGACTGTAGGTGGGTTTTGCCCCTCTGAGACTTGGGACGAATTTCCTTTTCGACCTTTTCCCTTCACCATTCACCTGACGAAACTGTGCTTATGGCAGACTCCTGCCTCGTCGCCAAACTATTGTGTATTTTGGTACACAGCATTAAAAGACTATCAACTTGAACAATGGCTTTTAATTAACTGAATTATTATACATGGCAACCAAAAAACAATAAAACAATAATCCGGTTCCCTCGGACAGACACCGTTATCTATCAACTTGACCTGTCACTCCTCAGCTGATGGCTGAAGAGGCGCTAATGCTGGGTTTACAATATTGCATTAAGCGCGTACATTACACCAATAATGAATAATGGTTTAGTCAAATGATTGCGGAAAAATTTGTCTAAATTTATATATTTTTTTAATTCGTATTCAAGTAAAAAAAAGTAAAAACTTTTCAGACAGTCATTCTTCCAAAAAAGTTGGAAAGTAGGTAACTGAAGAGATTCTGAAAAAGACACTTTAACAATTCCTATTGGAAAATGATCAGGCAGTGATCAATCAGGAATGAAACGAAAAACGTAGTAAGTTTTTTTGCTGTCCCCATAGAAACATCGTCAAAAAGCTTCCATGTTAGGAAGTGGGCTTTCCTACTTCATTTTACATGTTTTCGAATAAAGGCTTTTAAGCCGAAAATAATGCATACTTTGGAACCGGGATCTGAGGAAAGACGATTCGAGTTTCGCCACTGGTTATAGGGTAGGGGAATATATAATATTCCAAATGTTTCTAATGAAATTTTGTTTTTAGTTTCAAGTCGAAATTGCTCTCACTAGTCAGCTGAGAATATCGGATTCATCATAGATGCC